TAAATTGATTGAATGCACTAGTCAAGAGATAAAGAGTAGCTGAATGAATAAGAATACATGACAAATCAATATGTTATCTACAAGAGACACCTCTTAGACACAAAGACAAACATAAGCAATCTAAAAAGAGCAGGCTTGGCAATATTAATTTCTGATAAAATAGACTTTAAAGCAAAAAGGACAAGGAAGGACATTATATAATGATAAAGGGTCAACCAAACAAAGGGACATATAACCATAATAAATATCTATGCACCCAATGAAAGTACTCCAAATACCTACATCAAACTTTAACAGAATTGAGAAGAGAATTAGACAATTCCGCAAAAATAGCAGGAGACATTAATACACCACTTTCAATGAAGGACAGAACAACTAAAAAGAAATTCAACAAAGATACAGAAGGTCTAAACAGCACAATCAAGCAATTTGACTTCATAGATATATACCAAACACTCCACCCTGCCATAGCACAACATACATTCTTTTCCAGTGCACATGAAACGTTCTCCAGAATAGACCATATGTTAGGCCACAAAACAAGCCTCAATAAATTTAAAAATATCAAAATACTATAAAGCATCTTCTCAATCACAGTGCTATAAAATGAGATATCAACAACAGGAAGATCAAGGAACAAAAATCAAACACATGAAAACTGAATAACACCCTGCTTAAAAACTACTGGTGATAGAAGATATGAAAAATGAAATAAAAAAGTTCTTTGAATCAAATGAGAATGAAAATCCTATATACCAAAATGTTTGGGACACAGCAAAAGCAGTGCTCAGAAGTCAATTTAAAGCAATAAATATACACATCAAAAAAAAAGAACCAAAATCAACACCTTAACCCAGTATCTCCAAAAACTGGAAAAAAGTACAGCAAAAAATTTCTATCATCAGAGAAAAAAATACTAAATATTCCAGCAGAAATAATGAAGCAGAAAACAGAGACGCAATAAAAAGGATCAACAGGACTGGAAGTTGCTTCTTCAAAAGTATTAATAAAATTGATAAAACACTAGCAAATTTAACAAAGGCAAAGAAGAGAATATGCAAATAAAATGAATAAGAAATTAAATACATGATGTCACAACAGAACCAACTGAAATAAAAAGGGTAATAAAGAATACTATGAAGACCCATACTCCCAGAAATCTGAAAATTTTTGGCAACAATGTATCACACAAGGGGCTAATCTCTAAAATTTATAGAAAACTTCAACACCTCAACAACAAAAAGGACAAACATCATTAAAAAAAAAAAAAAAAGGTTTTCTGGTCTGATAGAGCCTGGTGAAACTCCTGAGACTATGGCCCCTAACCCCCTTCAGGTCTGGAATTGACCTCACACCTGTGGCTTCCAGGCCAAACAATAGACAGGCATATGGGGTGAACATTTACATCAGGAAGATCGTGGGAGAACAGAAGGGCAGTGTTTGCACAGGGAGACAGCATGGAGGGTGGGAGTGCATGGGAGGGAAAAACACAGTGAAGAGGTAACTATGGGGAAAGAAGCGGGAAGAGAGCTGTTACACTGGGGGGAACTGCAGTCAATGTCATGAGACAAAATGTGATGCATTGCTGTATGGAAAATGAATTTGCTCTGTAAACTTTAACCCAGATTTTAAAAAAATTAATAAACAACAACAACAACAAGATAAACAATGCAGTTTAAAAAAGGCCAGAGGACATGCACAAACACTATAGCAAAGAAGACCTCAGGCAACCAATAAACACATGAAGAAATAATCATGATCATTAGCCATTAGAGAAATACAAATCAAAACAATAATGAGATAAAATCTCACACCAGCATTAATGGCAAAGTTAAAAAAAAAAAAAAAAACAGAAAACAACAAATGCTGGCAAGGGTGTGGAGAGACTGGAACCCTCATACACTGCTAGTGGGACTGTAAAATGGTGCAACCACTGTAGAAAATGGTCTGGTGCTTCCTTAAGAAATTGAAAATAAAAATACCATATGACCAGCAATCTCACTACTAGGTATATATCCTAGAGAAATAAGACCCATGGCATGAACATATATATGCACACCCATGTTCATTGCAGTATTATTCACAATAACAAAAAGATGGAAACAATCTAAGTGGTCTTTGATGGATGATGGATAAACAAACACAGCACATATACACAAGGCAGCATTATGCAATGTTAAAGAAAAATGAACCTGCAAAATACTTCATTACATGGATGAACCTAGAGGATATTATACTGAGTAAAATTCATCAATCACAAAAGGACAGAGATTATATGAGACCACTACTCTAAGAAAGTCAAGAAAAGGTTTACATACAGAAAGAAACATTCTTTAAAGATGATCAAGGGTGAGAGGAGAAGGGAGGGTGAATCACTAACTAGAGGGTAGACATGGATTAACTTAAGCAAAGGGAAGGGGAATATAAACAATAAGGGGACTGTTAGCACAAAATGATCAAGCCAAAGGAAGACATTGGGAACAGCACAAGAGTTAAAGGGAACAAAGGTAAGTAGTATTACATATGTTCTTGTTGTTGTTATTTGCCGTCGAGTCGGCCCCGACTCATAGCGACCCCTCCTTGGGTTTCCGAGGCAGTATCACTACAGAAGTAGGATTGCCCAACCTTCCTTCTGAGGAGTGGCTGGTGGGTTTGAACTGCCAGCCTTTGGTTAGCAGTCAAGTGCCTTAGGCACATACACAAACCTGCAATAACAGCAATACTAATTTATGCATGGATACATAGCAGACATGCAAGCTGAACAGGTGTGGAAAGGAAAATGGGACTACATCCAAGAATATATATAGGCTTGACAGAAGATACTCCTACATATGTATTTATATGTACTACAAATATATCCATAAATATAATACAGCATACAGGGGAAAAGTTATGGAAACTTCTTAACCATAACCAAACACTTGGAAAGAATGAATCACTGGGCCTAGGGGTTCAGGACCATAGTATTAGGGGACATCAAGGCAAACAGGCATAACATAGTCCACAAAAACAATTTTCTACTTCCCACTTTGGTGAGTTGGGACTGCAGTCTTAAAAGCATGTGAACAGCCACCCAAGGTGTAACATTGGTCTCTCCTGGTCTGGAGCAAAGAAGAGTGAAGAAAACCAAAGATGCATGAAAACAGTCCAAAGGACTAATTGGACCATGCAAATTCCAGCCTTTTGAGAGCAGAAGAACCAGGTGGTGCCCACTACCACTGCCCAGCACTCTGAAAAGGATCACAAGAGGATGTCTCAGATAGAGGGGGAGAAAAATATGGAACAAAATTCCAAATCATTTTTAGTAAGACCAGGTTTACTGATCTGATAGAAATTGGTGGGACCCTTGAAACCACGGCCTTAGACATCCTTCAAGCCTGGAACTGAACTCATCCCAGTGGCTCAACTTTCAGCCAAACAACAGACAGGTCTATACGGTAAACAGTAATACCAGGGACGCACACATGTCTTAGAACAATCAACCATACGAGACCAAAACGGCAGCATTGGCCCATGGATAAAGCTCAGAAGTCAGGAAGAGATAGGAAAGGGTAATGAAACAGTAAACACAGGGAGTGAGTGGGAAGAGTGCTGTTATATTGTGGAGACTGCAATCAATGAAAGCAAAATGTGTATGAACTGTTGAACGAAAAAACAATTTGCTCTGTAAACTTTCAATCCAATCACAATAAAAAAATTTAAAAAAAAAAAATCACAGCCATTGAAATCCCTATGGAGTGCAGTTCTACTCTGCACCACATGGGGTTGCCATGAGTCATAATTGACAGCAACTTTTTTTTTAAAGGATAATCAGATCAACCACCAGCTCCTATCTTTGGGCTGGCAATGCCAAGACACCTCTGGCTGATGAACTGCTCTGTACGGATGAGGGAATAAGGAAAGCCTGGAGAAGTCCATCCTAGAAGCCCATTCCAGAGTTCCCAGCTGTATCCCAAGGAGAGTGGTTAAAGGCCTCAGATCAAATATCTCCTAATAGATTCGGTTCTCTGGTAGCATAGTGGTTAAAGCACTTGACTGCTAACCAGAAGGCTGGCGGTTCAAACCCACCAGCCACTGCTCGGAAGGAAGGTTGGACAATCCTACTTCCGTAGTGATACTGCCTCGGAAACCCAAGGAGGGGTCGCTATGAGTCCGGGCCGACTCGATGGCACATAACAACAACAACAGATTCGGTTCTACCAGGAAGAACCTCTGGGAGTTTCAGGGAAGCTCTCCAAATTGTAGCATGTTCCCTCCACTGAAGATCCCTGTATGTGGAGGGACCTGAGACTCAATTCGCTGTCAACATGATGACCATTTCCTTGCCACTCTCCTCTCCCCTCCTGCCTCACTCTAGTCCAGCCACACTGGTCCTCTTGTCAATTCTCAAAAATACGAATTATACTCCTTTTGCAAGCTTTTGTACTTGTTGTCCCTCTGCCTGGTGTGGTCCTCCCCAAGATAACACGGGTTGAATCTCTCACTTCATCCAGGCTGATGCCCAAACATCACCCCATCAGAGGTGTCTAGTCTGCACATCCCATGTAATGTACCACAGGCACTTGAGAACCTTCCTCCCTTCTTGCCTGGCTTTATATATTTCTCAGTTTTGCACTTATCACCACTTCTCGTACTCTAAAATTTATTTGCTTATTTTCCATCCCCTTTCAGTGTAACATAAGCTCTATGATAACAACAGATTTTGTTTTGTTCCTGTTACATCCCCATTGCCTAAAATAATGTCTGGCACATAATGAATACATGACAAATAAATGAATGCATGAACAAATGGTTATTTTTTTTTCTTAAATTATTGAACCATGCCATAAACAAACAAAAACAAAAACAAAGAGTTAAACTGCATAACTAACTAAATCCATGTTCCTAAAAAGTAACAAAATTAATTGCTTTCATAACGTTTTTCCTTCTAGGATAGACCTAGAAATCACAGTAATAAGTGATTTCAAACAAAAACAAAACATTCAAACCCCTGTGCTCACCTGATCAGCCCTCGATACATAATATATTCACACCATCTGTCATAATCTGTGCTGTCGATATCCTAATAAAGAGAGAAGAAACAATGTTTAAAGCATTAAAAAAAATAATAATAATAATCCTTGGTTCTGAATTGCCAAGAAAACGTATGAGCTAAAGTGATAAATGTGCATGCTATTTTGTCTGCCTGGTTCCTAATCATCCTTCCAAGTTTATTTGTGATAGATATTTCTTGAGCACCTTGGCCACTTGGCCCACTGTCATAGAGTTGACTCCGACTCATAGAGACCCTCTTGGACAGAGTAGAACTGGCCCATCCGGTTTCCAAGTCAGTAAATCTTTAAGGAATGAGACTGCCACATCTATCCCCCACTACACCACCAGAGCTCTTTTCCTGAGCACCTACTAAGTGCCAATTTACCTACTCTGCCAGATGCTAGGAAAACAAAGATGAAGATTATAGCATAGTTCCTGGCCAATGCTGCCCTTTTGGTTTCATATGGTTGATTGTTCTAAGACATGTGTGCCTCTCTAGTGTTACTGTTTACCGTATAGACCTGTCTGCTGTTTGGCTGAAAGTTGAGCCACTGGGATGAGTTCAGTTCCAGGCTTGAAGGATGTCTAAGGGCCATGGTTTCGATCAGCCAGACAGAGTTCCTGGCTCCCTGCAGATTTCCAAGACCTTCACCCTAAGGAGAACTTATCATCTCTTCATTTGTCATCCCATGTAGTACTTCACACACAGCAGCTATGCCATGCTGCTACAGTGATTTGTTCATATTGTCTCCACCCTGCCCTCCCAGAGCAGAGGGACTCTTAATGACATTTGTCTCTCTAGTACTTAGCATGAAGCCTGCTGTTCAGCAGGTGCTCAATATGTGTTTGTTAAATTGAATCACAGAAATAAACTCATTTTGGGAGAAATCATGAGTCTTTTTGATGCTGAAAGCATGAGACCAAGGTTATTTTTCATTGAAGAAAAAGAATAGAAACACATTATTATTATTTACTACATTGTGTTAGGAAAACTTTAAATATAAGGCTGCTATACTGCAGTAAAAAAATCTCAATTTTTCTCTTTCAAAAACTCCTATGAATAAAAATATACTTGACATTTTGTCATTTCTGCATTTTTCTATTAAATTCAATTTAAAATATTTTTTAAATCACTAAAGAATACACCACAATTTACTTATCTCTTTTTTTTTTTTCTTTCAGCTTGGTGATGGACCATAAATGATGATTATATGCATCTTTATTATCATTTATATTACACACATATTAATATACTTTTTCTATACAGGAAAAAATTATAAAGACTTAAAAAATTAAATTAAAAATTTAAAAGATGAGGAAGAACAAGAATAAATTTAAAATGTACGTGTGGTAGTTAACGTTTGTATGTCAACTTTGCTAGGCTGGTTGAGTAGCCGGGCAACTGGATGTAGTATTCCCCATGATGAGACTGGTAATCAACTCCACAGTGGAACCTACTGTGAGCAGTTGGGTAGCTGCCTCAGGGGTGTAGTCTGCTTCCTGTATATAAGCAGAAGCCTTGGGAAATGGTCTCTAGCTTATGGCACACTTAGACCCTGATGTAACCTTGTCATTGTTTAGCAGCCTGCCATGCTCTGCAACCTTGGGACTTAAAATGGACTTGAGTTAATAGCCTGCCTTGTGGTTTGGTAACATTGGGACTGTGCCATTTTATTTGTCAACCTTGGGCTTGTTAGCCTCAGCAGCCAATAGCTGCCTGAGTGAAGAGAGGCCTCTAGCTTCAGTGGCCTGGGAGCAAGAGGCAGAGCTGAAGCCCAAGGTCGAGGAGCTTTCACACAGCCCCTAGAGCCCAGCACTTTGAGCTTAGACTTAAAGCCTCCAAACTGTGAGAGAATAAACTCCTGTTTGTTAAAGGCATCCTATTTGTGGCATATTCTTGTCAGAGCGGTACTAGGTAACCAGAACAGTATGGTTCTGGTTTGCTTTAGGAAGAGATACAAATTTAGTTATTCAGCTATATATACTGGGAATAATAAGCTATGAATCTGCTAATTACAATTTTATTTTATTAGGTTTTAAAAAGATGCTGTAAATTTTAAGACTACAGAATTTAAACACTCATTTCTTCAAGAGAAAAATCTATTTATCCAAGCAGTTACAACTTAAATTCCTCTTAATAGAATAAACTTAATAGAAAAAAAGCTGTATGAGAATCCACTGCCAATCTTGACATACTTCTGATGGTGATAGTAGAAACCAACAGAGGATTAAACAAAAATCAAATAAAAGTTGTCTTGCCTAACACCATGTATAAGGAGCTCTGGTGGCATAGTGGATAAGGCATTTGGCTGCTAATCTCAAGGTCAGAGGTTCAAACCCACCAGCTGCTCTGCAGAAGGAAGATAGGGTGATCTACTTCCATAAAGATTTACAGCCTAGGAAACCCAATTTGGATTGCTATGAGTCGGAATCAAATCAATGCCAGTGAATTTTTTTTTTTTTTAAAACACCCTGTATATCCCTTACACACACACACACACACACACACAATGTATAAATGCCCTCCTTTGCTAGGATGAATTTTCTCTAGACTTGCCAAAACTCATTTTGTCTAATATTCTTTTGCAACTTATAAACTATATACTTACACATACATTTATCTTGTTTGAGTTTATACATGCAGTTAAGACATACACACAAGATATAGGTAGCTACTATTTGATGAGTACGTTCTATATGTGAGGGCTTTATATACATCATATTTCATCTTCATAACAACAGTGTGTAAGACATAATACTATCACTATGCTACATATGTAGAAACTGAGGCCCAGAAAAGTAAGTAGCTTAATCAAAGTTCACATAGCTGGTAAATGAAGCTCTGGCCTGGTTAGTGAATGGTGAGAGATCATGTGTTGAGAAAGGCCACACCAACAGCTAGTACCAATGGCCTAGACATGTGAGTGGGGCCATCTTAGACCCTCCAGCCACAGCCAAGCCACTAGTATAAGTGAATCCAGGCAAGAACAGAGACCAGTCAAGGCAATCCACTGAACGATTGGAAATATAAACTGATATTGTTGTAAACCACTGCATGTTGAGGTGATTCCTTGTTGCTGTTGTTGTTATGTGCTGTCGAGTCAGACCTAACTCATAGAGACCCCTCCTTGGGTTTCCAAGGTGGTATCACTATGGAAGTAGATTGCCCAACCTTCCTTCCAAGGAGTGGCTGGTGGGTTTGAACCACCAGTCTTCTGGTTAACAGTCAAGTGCCTTAGGCACTACACCACCAGCGCTCCCGGGTGATTCCCTACACAGTAATAGATGATGTCTGCTCTATGACTTCACAATTTCCAAGGTTTCTCTTACTTTTCTAACTGTCCTTAATCTCTTTCCTGAGATAATAACTTTTCTGTTTCCTCACTCATCACCACCATGATAGCCATATTAAACATGGCTTTTACTGGATTTTTCTTTGGTCTTTTTTATGCCTTTCTCTAGCTCCATAAGCAATCTTATCCACTTCCATGGTTTCAGTGATCACCTATATTCTGGCACCTCCCTAACTGGTATCTCTAGTCCAGATCACTCTTTGGAATTCCAGACCCATATCTTTAACTGCCTATTGGACATCTCTATCAGTGACCCACAGATGCTAAAACTTGGCCCAGAGTTGCACTCATCATCTCTCTGCAAAACTGTTCTTCCTATGTATTTTATAATAGTAATGTTACCATCACAAACTCTCTGATCAAAGCCCAAAACCAACAGTCCATGTTGACTCCACTGTCTCCTACTCACTGTGGCAGAGACTAATGATATGCTGCCTGATATCTGCCCTGCCCTTCTTCCAAAGTTATAGTATGTTTAGCTGGGTATATGGGCATCAACATTAAATATTACATCTTACAACTTTCTGTACAGCAAGGTGTGGCCATATGACTACATTCCAGTCAATGAAATGAAAGAAGTGTTAGGGATCAGCTTCCTGGAACTTGCTATTGGAGATCGCTTGCATATGTTCATCTTCTCTTCTTTATCTCTTCTTCTATGTCATTAAGTAGAACACTGTTGCTGCTATTCTGGATCATAACGCAAACTTGGGAGTGCAACTGTGAACTGTAAACTTGTAAACTGGAGCCACAGGTAGAAGGAGCACAGATTCCTGACATCACAGAGTGCTAGACCCACGACTAATCATGCCCTAGGCTTTTATATAAAGAAATAAAAATCTTATTTAAACCAATGTTATTTTGTGCTTTCATGTCATCATGCCATGCTATCTCTCACCTCTGTCTCTCCAAGCACTTGGTAAATAATGTTACTCTCTAAGAGCTGAAGTCTTTAAATCATTGCAAGATGGATAAGCTTTTATTGCTGGAGATATTAGCTCAAGACATGAAGTCATAGACAAAAAGAAAAGAACCAAGACATCTACACAAGGTTTAACTAAATAGAAAAATTATATTCCTTATTGCTAATTATTACTTTTGACACTCTAGTATATATATCAGTCTTTTGAGGATTGATCGGTGTGTCAGTTTCCCCGAGCATTATTATATCCAAGTACACTCACAAGTTCAAGTGGTTTAGACTTAAAAAGATGAGGACTAATTCAGTGTCATTTGGTAAGGTCCCATCTAATTGATCAGCCCCACCTCTCTATGTGACATTTCATCTTTTAATATCAATATCATAATTAACTCACATAATGTGGCAGATAGTGTTTTCTAAACATGACTATAACAATGTCTTACATCCCATATGGTATTCTTATAATGTGACTTAGATACTCCTTCCATTGAGAGGTGGGTGTTTTGTTTCTTCCCATTGAATTTGGATAGGCTTCTTACTATAGCAGAAACAACACTATGTGAAACACTATTCTAACACTTTTAGAATCCAACTGCCATATGGGGAGGAAGCCCAAATAGCCTGTAGAAAGGAATCAAGGTCCCAAACCCAAAGCCTCAGCTGAGCCAATGCCAAGGTGCCAGCCATATAAGTCATCTTGAAAGTAGATCCTCTAGTCTTC